TCTGGGCAGCGCCGGGCCGGGGCCGGCGTCGGGGGCCGGGCCCTGCCCCTCCGCCCCGAGCGCCCGCGTCCCTGCTTTCCCATTACGTTTACGGTTTGGGGCCTTTTTCCCCATTACACTTACGGTTTGGGGGCGATTTTTTCCCTATTACCTTTACGGTTTGAGGCCTTTTCCCCCATTACCTTCACGGTTTGGCTCTTTTCCCCCATTACATTTATGGTTTGGGGTGTTTTTTTCCCCATTACATTTACGGTTTGAGGCATTTTTTTCCCAGCCTTGCTCCCTCCCCGGGAAGGGGACGTTCCGGGATACTTTTCCCGCGGGAGCAGCAGGGCAAAGCTGGCTCCAAGCCCCTCTCCGTCCCTCCAAAGAGGCCTCACGCTTCTCCTGAGCTCGGTCACATCCTCTCTCCTTTCTCCCAGCTCGCCCCTCGCCTGGTCCTTTCTCCCCTCTCGTGGGAGGCCCGGCTTGCCAAAGGCCTGGCTTAGGTGGTCGTGGGATCTTCCTCGCCCAAAATGAGCTGCGCCCAGCGCCGAGCAGGAGCTGGAGCCCCGTCAACCCCACTCGCCGTCACAGAGGGGCCCAGAGGCCCGGGGACGCACCGTGATCCAGCCAAAACCGCTTCTCTGGGCTCCAAACTACATGGACCGAGTAAAAAAGCCAGAATACAAAGGGTGGTCAGGACAGACAGCCCTTTGCTTTACAGGAACATCTGGCACAGAGCTGCCCCTGCAGCGCGGAGGAGGAGGAAATCTCTGCCCTTGATCTCCCGCACACCCAGGGCATAGCCCCTGGGCTCGCAGCAGCTCCAAGGCCGTGACTGAAAAGGTTTGCTCTGGAAAAAGGGCACAGTAAAACTTAAATGAAATAGAGCCGAGGCTTTTATTAGAAAAGGAGATCTATTCTGTTTCAGTCCTTTGGGAATCCAGCTTTATCCAAGAGTAATTCTGAGTCCTGGAGGAATCCTTAAAGGCCTCGTGCCAGCCTGCTGTGGGGAGACTGACCGGGTTAGCTCAAGGGGTCCCGGCTCGTAGTCCGGAGGTAATCCTGTACACTTCTGGCAAGGGATTCACCGTGTGGGAACATCGCCTGCTTCAGACACGAGACCAGGTACAACGGGAAGGGCCTGCAAGAGAAGGGAGCGTTGCAGCAGCATGGACTGCGGCATTCCCTTGCCACGGTCTGACTAGGAAGTTTGCTCCCCACGCGGCGGGGGCCCCGGCCTCTGCCCTCCTGTCTGGCTCCGTGTCAGCTCTTGTCAGCCCCGGCGGGGTTCCCTGCAGAGCCCCAGCCCCTGGTCTCTCGGAGCAAAGGGCTGCGCTGCTGGAGCTCTCATGTGGCCAGCTGAGATCCCACCCATCCCTCCACGCACCTTCCCTGCTGCCCATCCTCCCCAGGGATGCTCTGGGAGAGCTTCTGCCAGTGAGCTGCTGCCTCCTGCTTTCGGTTCAGTTTCCACAAGGCCTGCACCAGGTAGGAGGCAGCAGCTGGGTCACCTGCAAGAGACGAAGTGGGGGGATTCAGCCCTTAGCAGGGGAGGAGCGGGTCCTCAGCACTGCTGTGGGTTGCAAGGCGTTGAAAAAGCAGCTTAGAAACCAGATGAGGGAGGTGAGCATGAGGAGAGGTGGCGTAATGGGGAGAAGACCATCCCGGATGTGTCGCAGGCTCTAATTAACCCTGGGGCTGGTAGCCAAGGCAGACAGCATCAGCCCTGCGGCACAGCCAACCACACCTCTGTTAGGACACGGGTTGGGAGCCTTGGTCAGGACTGGGAACAGCAGGTCTGGCAGATCCTGGCGGATCTCACAGCCCTGCAGCATCGGCATGGCTGGAGCAGCGAACAGGGTCACCCCTGGGAGCAGCACCAGCCATGCCTTGGCTGTGCTCGGGACACATACGGCTCCCCCCTCCCCCCCCCCC